ACCCTAAACTTAAAGCCAGGGCAACAATGGAATGGTTTAAAACAAAACATATCCATGTGTCAGAATGGCCCAGTCAAAGTCCAGATCTAAATCCAATCGAGAATCTGTGGCAAGATCTGAAAACTGCTGTTCACAAACGCTGTCTATCTAATCTGACTGAGCTGGAGCTGTTTTGCAAAGAAGAATGGGCAAGAATTTCAGTCTCTAGACATGCAAAGCTGGTAGAGATATACCCTAAAAGACCGGCAGCTGTAATTGCAGCAAAAGGTGGTTCTACAAAGTATTTACTCAGGGGGCTGAATATTTACGCACACCCCACTTTTCAGTTATTTATTTGTGAAAAATGTTTGGAATCATGTATGATTTTCGTTCCACTTCTCGCATGTACACCACTTTGTATTGGTCTTTCATGTGGAATTCCAATAACATTGATTCATGTTTGTGGGGGCCGAATACTTTTGCAAGCCACTGTAAGAAATGAAAGATGAGTTAAGACTTTGCACAGTACTGATCCAGGAGACTATAGCACATAGCCACCAGACTAACCAGAAAAGGGTTGCTAGAGACCATAGGTCCTGCCATTGCCTGCCCAAAAGGAGTTGCAACAGACTTGGCCTGGCCGAAGGCTGGAAATCCTCCACCTGAAAAACATAATGTGATTTCAACTGTTACATGATGGACATGGATCTCTCTCTCTCTCTCTCTCATTTATCTATCTAGCTTTCTCTATATTATTTTCATATAGCTAAACATATAATTAAAACAACAATAACAATATTACCAAATCAAATAAGACCTCTTCCGTCAGGGTTAATTGAGTGAACCAAATATTACATGAAGAAAAGTCTTCAACATTTTATAGACGACCACTTGACAACTACAGCTCAAATCTCACCATAGCCATTATTGTCTACATGACACACACCGTTGGGTTGCTGGGGATACGCGGGAGGCTGAGGGAAGGGAGCCTGACCAGGAAAGGGTTGCTGGAATGTTCCACTAAAGCTGGTGGGGAGGTTGAAGGCTGCAGTATTCCCAAATCCAGCTGGCATACTCATGGAGCCTGTGCCAAATGGTGCTGCAAAATAGCAGAACAGTAACATTTAGGAACCAACAAAAGCTCAACACATAATAGGCAAAATTTGGTTTGATCTATTGCTGCGATTCTGTAACCCAGTGTGACTCGTTTTGGGCAAAAACGTCTACAATTCAGTATTGTGTGTCCAGCTGGGATTGTCAGAATCTCAGTTTTGTTTTGTTTTTTATTTGGATAGTTTAAACACATGCAATAAGAGTGTCTGCACACAAGCTGTAGAAAAAAAAGAAAAGAGGGAGTCAGAATCAGACATCAGTAAGTTTAGTGGCAGTGTCTGATCTCTGGTGAACACACAGGAGCAACAGCTGGGATCAAAATGTGTGAGACAGCCAGCTAAAAACCAAGCAATTCTATCAGTGATTTAAGAAAAACAAAAGAAAACATACACACACAGTTTACAGCTGATGTGGGATACAGGCTTCATTCATTCATTGAATGAAGCATATCTGTTAATCAGCGTGATTAATAACTCAGGGTGTAAGTTTTCTTTTAATGAACAATAAAGTTTATTATTTCCCCTTTAATTCTTTAACCAAGAAGAGGACCATGCTGCAGAAACCACAGATATTTGGGAAAGATGAATCCATCCTCAAACCTATTGTTATTAGTCATTTCTCATTCAGCTTCACTCTGTTCCTCTGTGATGAAATGGTAACTGGATTATTGGGCTATTTCAGTGGTGCTGTGTTTACTTCTTTCGAGATTTTCCTCAGTGACAGCTAAAATCATTCACTGGCAGAGCAAAGCACATGAGAGCAAAGGGGAAGCAGTTAGCACAAACAAACCTACCAAAGGTGGGAGGATACCCATGCCAATGAAGAACCCTCATCAAGCCTGTCCAGCACGCCAAGGACAATAAGACAGACAACTGAATCTAAAAATTCTTCACCATACCGATTTATTTTTAAAAATCAATCTCTGCACACCAGTAAATGGCAACACTTCTCTTGCTAACCAGTTCCATAGTGAATTGTAGTTTTCAATCTTTTTGCCCTCCTCCACTTTCCTGTCGCTTTTTCTGTGTTTGGCACTGTGATCAGATATATAATCACTTCTGAGGTAGCACAGGCAAAGGTTGCCACTTCCAATGTGCAAAAAAAGACAGCTTTTAATACACTAACTTTATGACTGAACAAGTGCATATAATTTCTATACACACTGTTAAACTGAACTACTAAACTAAGTAAGTAAGCAGGGTGTTAAGTGAGTAAGGGGATTCTCAAAACACACACAGACACAGCCAACAAAAACAAACCTGCTGCAGCTGCAACAGTTGCTGCTCTGCCATTGCACTGGAATGGGTTGGTTGGAGCTGCTGCTGGGACAACACCAGGAGCTACAAATGGATTGGTTGGGTGTGCTGATGGGAATAACAGCATCAAATTAACATTAATTAGCATGACGTCCTAAGTTATAAGTAATATTAAACATTTTTCTTTTTTAAAGATAGCTTATAGAGGGTGTTTTGACAGTTCCACGTCAATGTCCTTTATACATCACAACAAACTAATTAACTAATGTTAATGAAACAAAAATAAATTCTTGACCATACTAGGCTGATTCTTGCCAAATTAAGTTTTAAGTTATGATAAAGTTATGATGCTTTAAGAATCATCATTTAAGTACGCAAGTTGTACAAAATGAAACTGCCAAATCTCTCTGTGATTGTCTCATAGTTTCCTCAACCTCACTCTAAAATTATTCAGAAATGTAAAACATGAACAATTACTAACAACCGTGTCAATTTTGTGAACATTGTTACCATAACAAATCAGAGACGTGTTTAAGTTCACTTACCTCCAAAACCCTGAGCCATGCTGGGCACAGCCTGCTGTATTTGTGCTGTTGAAACTCCCGTCTCTGAGCCAAACACACTCCTGTAGTGACACACCGTTAGCACATAAGTTTAGGAAAGGATGCAAAAAGAAAGGAAAAGGCCTAAGCGTATTCTGGAACACTGATCATCACAATGAAGAAAAAAGATTTGTCTGATTTATGTTGGTTTGTGCAGTCTCTTACCCTTGTGAGGTGCTGGTGGTATTGTAAACACTGGTGGCAGGTGCTGAGGTGCTGAAGACTGTATCAAGCTCAGCTAGAGCAGCATAGCGGTCTCCACCTGCTGGCTGTTTCTGAGGCAAACCACCCACTCCTGCTGCTGCTGCTGCTGCTGAGCTCACCCCACCAGGAATACCACCTCCTAGAATAGAAGTACATAAAAGCAAAGCCAGGTTTGATTTACCTCAGTTCACTTAATGCAGAAGAAAATGCTTTTAAACTTTCAAAGAGGTCCGGAGATAGCTGCCATACTGAACCTACTGAAATTAATAGGGGATAAATGTTAGGTCATTAGGAAGTGTATATTTTCTAGCCCAAAAATACATATTTATATGAGAAAAACCAGCTCAGTACAATTCACAGATACTCAAACACCAAACTTCTAATAATGTGGTATTAAAATGCTTCAGTCAAACCTAGATGTATAGCATTCACAGAAGTGAGGAGGCATTTCAGTCATGTCCAGTTGCCTTTTTGCAGCTGGTTCAGTAACATTGAGGTATAGACAATCGTGAGCAGAAGTTTACATTCCCTGTAAGAATTAATGTCCTGGCAATTTGGGGATTTTGAGCATTTCTTTGTCATTGTTCTAAGAAGCGGGATTGTTCAAAGTCCAAGGAAGTCAGTGAAGATACGAGTATTGGTCAATTCAATGGCTGCTATCAAACAAATTCTTTTTATGCTGGCAAAGAGGCCAGAAACTACCAGTTACAGTCAATCATCAGTAATGAGAAGTTAAAATGTTTTGGCCTTGTCAAGTTAAAAGATTATAGAACCTTTAGCACTGCTTATTAAAAGATTTAAGTGAATGTACGCATATATTTGAGTCCATATTTATGATTTTGATCCTAAATGAATTAGATAACCTCCCAAACGAATTAAAACTTGTGCAATTTTTTTAAGTCATTAGTCTAAAAGCCCAAAATTACCTTGACATTCATGCCCACGATGAGTGTATGTAAACTTCTGACCTCTACTGTAAGTATAAATTGCTAGAAAATGTAAACCAGCCCTTTTTTAGAGACTGCCTATCCCTGCCATGAGAAGAAAACTTATAGGGACTTAAATCTATGCGCCTAATTAAACCTAGTTTTCAGTTTGTATTTTTGTTTTTCAGTCATTCTCTAGCCCTACAATGGACATCTATGAAACAGGCTAGGCATGAAGGGTTTACCTGGCTCTGTTTTGGCAGAGCTAAATATGTTATCCAGGTCAGCCAGGGCTGCGTATTTATCGGCGGAAATGTTAGTACTCTGTACAACGTCTCTGCCAGCTCCTGTGGAGTTACTCTGGGAGGAGGAACTGAAGGATCCAAAGTCAGCACTACACGATTTGGGGAAGTTCTCAAAATTTGCAAAACTGGCATTTGCTAGTCCCCCTGAGGCGCTACCTGTATGAAAGAGAGAGATTAAAGAGTCATAAGGGGGACTGTAATTGTTGGTTTGGAGAAACAACAAAACAGGTTGGAGAGGGAAAGCTGCATGAAGGGTAAACTTGGGAGTCAGGCTGGTAAAGGGACACCTTCTAAAGGATAGATAGCAACATCTGTCCTTTGTTACACTGCACTATGCTGGCTTTTCATCAGCCTATGAGCCAAAAGAGCACACACAATTAGCACTTATATGTGTTAGAGGCTGAGCATGTGCAGGGCAGCAATTTTCTTGTGTGACTCCAATACTTCCAACTTCACCACGATACTGTGGAGAAAGGAAGTTAAAGACAAAATTCATCAAAATGTATTCACTGAGAGATAGAAAACAAGTTGCTATCTCCCAAAAAAATCTCTTTAATATGCCAACAATCCTGCAGATTTTACTGAGCGCTGTAATATCAACACGATCACTCTCAAGCAGGTCTAAACGTGTTAGAGCAGAACGAAACATTAATCTCTTAATGTTTACCTATTTTCTGCAACAGACTGCAAAATAATCACTCTGGACATCTTTATGCAACTAATTCAACACTCCATGTTAATGCTTGGAAACCCTCAGTTCACACATTCCTGCATATTACAGAGAAAAATTGAGGTTTTGCTACAGAGCAGTAATTTCCATATTGCAGCACATGAAGAGCAGATTTGTATGGAGCCCATTAAAAGCAAACACAGAATAATAAATTATTTTGGACACCGAGGTAAAACAGAGCTAACTGGGACGCAGCACAGTTGTTGTGACCCTAAGGGGAAGAGAAGGCAACTTTTAGTAATGACACCGATACCGCTGCATTTTAATCAGCAGTTCACTGCTTTCTATGAAATATTGGTTATTTAATGACTTTTAGGTCAGGGACACTAAAGGAGTCTGAGTTTAAAGGCATCCCACATTACAGTTTACAAAAAATAGATTCTAGGGTAAAAGCTTTTGTAGAAGTAATTTTTGCATAAAAATCTAGAGATTGAGCACATTTAAAAAAAAATATTATCATTATTGCTTGAGGGGAAAATATGCATCTCCTCTTATCATCTCTTTTCATGTTGCCTTGTTGGATTTTTATACACTTTGGTCTATTTTGCACAGTAGGTCATATTAATCATTGCAACAATCAAAGATTAGTAGACCTATGTTTAACCACTGAGCTTTATCAGCTGTTAATTTTAGTATAGATGGACCAAAAAAAACAACACAGTGAGACACACACACACAACACCCAAAGAGAGGATTGGGATCACAATGACTACACATACAAGATGGGTGAGAGAGTGAAAGCTGTTATGAGGGCAAGCGCAGAGAGACTTACTGTGTGAACACTGGAGAGGCAGAGCAGTGGCAAACTCACCCATACTGCGGCTGGATGAGAGCACAGTGAACGCTTGCAGCCAAAAATCAAAGAGGGAGGCAGAAATGGGGTAATGAGCAATGTAAGATGGCAGAGAAATCAAAGAAAAGATGTCAGGTAACCCAGAGGTAAACATTAAAAAGTGCTAAATCAAAGCAAATCAAATACTGCTAAAGCAAAGGATAAAAAACAAACAAACCCCAAAGCAAAACAAAAAACAAGTAAGACAGATTTGACAGCTGAAGGCAGACAGTGCAAGGCAGTCAGTATCTGTGAGAAAGCCACTTAAAAATGTTTCCAATAAAAATAAACACTAAAGGAGGCCGCTTCACACAGAGTCAATATGCACCTCCAGCAGAGGGCACTGTAGTACACAACATTTTCCTGACAGGAAGTGAAGTTTGTGGCAGTAACTACTGTTCAAATAAGAGTATGTGACTTATGAGTCAAAGTGCTGGAAATAAGCCAGAGGATGTGTCAATAAGCTGCCAATGCATTTTTGAAAAACTGTAGGAGAGAGAGAGAGAAAAAGCTTTGGCTGACACCGCATGTATTGATTAGCACTCATCTATTGCACAACACCAGCATTAATTTAGAACCTCAAAAGTACACAAAAATGTTAGTTTCTCAGACATGTGGCTAAGCTGTATGAAGCTAGTGTATGCCCAAAGTAAAGTTTACAGTAAATGTCTCTAGTGAGGTACAGTGGATAATCTCCTGAACACAGTACTTCACGTCTTAGTCTCTTTTAAACAGGATCATCTGAAAACCTTACAACTCTCTGGTGTAAAGAAATGTTTACATTTGAACAAAAAAATGAATGAACGCTACACATATGGAAAGGTTTGGGAACAGAGGTGATACAACAGTTTAAACAAACCAACAAATGATGATGTGAGAGAAATTTTGACTACCATTGAGGTGTGTGTGTGACTAAATTCTTTGTCTATGTAAATTCTTACATGTCTGCCTGTGTACATAAAGCAAACCTGTTCCTCTGTGTTATTGATTTAGTTGTGTTATTTGTCCAGTAAAACCAGCTTGCTCTACCTGTATTTGGGGGTTGAAATGGGGCTTGGGGTGCAGAGGAAAAACCACCTGTCGACCCAGAAGTGTTCCCGAATGCATCAAAATTAGCAAAGTCTGCCTCTCCTTTGGTATTCTGTGCCACTTGAAGTTGTGTAGAGGTGTTGTACAGACAAACAGATGGAGAAAAAAAAAAGTGAAGGGAAAAAAAATGGATTAATGAATGAATGCATACAATATCCAAAGACATGAATGACTGCAAAACAAATACAATGGGTTAAACACTACTAATAAAATGCAATGGGTGATGTGTTAAATGTGAGCAATAATCAGAGTAGTAGAGCAGTGCAACTTAAAATGCGTAGCAGCTTATATACCTCGACATTCACTATTTCCGAGTAACACTCAAGAGTCCTTCATGTGCACACCCAAATATAAAGCAGGACTTGTGTGCTTAGCACTACACACATCATTAATTTTAACACAACTGTGCGCATGTTTGTTAGGTGTGTTAACGCCACTTTAGTTCTTGCATTAAGGATGAATCTTAAAGGCTCTGAGGGAGAAATGAGAGGACATTAAACTCCATTGAAAGCAAATGCCAACAGCCACATGTTACAAGTATTAGTAACCATGGCAATTTGTCTGTCTGATGCAATTTTGATACAATCCAAGGGCACATCATGACTCCTGACGTATAGCAAATTCACATCTTCTCCAAACTGGTGGCATCCTGATCCCATCTAATGTAGTAAATACACCACCTCTGGAGAAGTGCCCACCCCACATCCAATATCTATAAACCCAGTTATTTATTGGTAAGAGATTGGTAATTGGGGCTTTTTTTGTTGTTTATTGTGGATTATGTGTGCTGAGGACTTTACTATCTTCATGTACATTGTACATGCCCAGGGAAATGAGATACTGGTGTGACCTTCTTGAAAAGGCAGTTTAACCAACTCTAGTTGGGATCTCCAACTAGCTGGCTAAGCTATGCCATGCCATGCCATGCCATGCACATTTCAATAGTGAAACTTGAAAACACTGGTTGAAGCAAATCAGACCTTGCCTACAAGTGTTAACAATAAGTTAAGTGTTAAGTGGTAACTACATTACTTGCTCATGTTTTTGTTAGTTGCAGTGTTATTGGTCTGTTGCTTACTTGTGTGGCTGTTGAAGTGTGCAAAGTTAGCAAAACTGGAGCTGGCGCCTGCATTCATGTTGGGCGGGGCAGCAAAGATGTCACCACCCAAGTCACTGAGGAGGTCATATTTCTTGTCATGGAGCTGCTGCTGCTGGGTTTGTCCACGGCTCACTACAGGAGACTGGTGACGACAAGAGATGCATTTGAAAAAAATTAAATAACTAAACCGGCATAAATGAGCTCCTAAACAGCCTTCATGCAAATTAATAAAGAGGAGATAATAGGCCACATGAAAAAACAGACTGTGGTGACACTGTCTCATTAGCGATGAAAGATGAACCTTATCTCAGTGGGCAAATTTGGTCATTTATCATAAACAAGATGAATATGCTTTTGTCTTTAAAGACATGGCTTTTTAATACTGCTGTGAAAGAATTCACAGTCTAATCTTGGACTGCACCTGTTGTCAATAAATCTGTCATTGCATTTGTGCGAAGAGTCATTATTTTCTTTGTATCTATGAGATACTTTTTAATTAGCAAATCACTTAGCAAATTAAGTCCAATGTAAACATGTCAGTAAAGCATTTAGGGATGTGTGTGTAAATGGATTACTAAGTAACTGTGGTAGTGTTGAACCACAGAGCATTCAGCAAAGTAAACAAGGTCATCAACTGGTAGCATTGTTTCCGCTAAAGCCCCATCATAAGGTTTCATTTTAACATCGGCAACAACGCTGAGTGTTAACTGTCGATTGATAACCCAGTTCAAAGCTGAAAGTGTAACAGCGTAAATATTCACACCATTGTAAAGACCAACCTGAGGTGAGAATATGTAGTAACAACTACATATTTTCACCTCAACCCTGCTAGATATGGCATATATGGCACACTGGACAAGAACCGGTTTATGCTGTCCAACATATGTGTTAATCATGTGATGACTTGTGTGCATGTGTGTACACTATGCAAGTCTCACCTGATTTGGTGGGGTGTGCTTGTTGAGGTGTAGAGACGGTGCCGACTCCCCCAGCAGAGACTTGAGTGGTCTAACCTCTGGGGTGCTGCTGGTGCTGCTGTTTGAGGAGCCAGAGATGGAAGCATGGACTGACGCCACTACCTTGGCCTGCTCAGGAGGCACGTACCTTCGAAGCAATCAACAATTTATGCATTACTTACACTAAAATATATATATATATTTTTTGTTAGTTTTAAACTACCATTTATAAGAGTGAGACACTACAAGTTGTGTGTGCGCACAACAGAGCAGACCACGTGAATGCCTGTCTGCAGCAAACCTAGCATGTTCAAACATGCACTAGTCATTGCTCTCATTTTGATCATATTTCAGACTAAACCCTAGATGGATGAGTTGATGTTTTTTAACAACATCCATGCTTACCCAATTCACACTTTGGGTGTATCAAATTTGTCATAACAAAATGCAGAGGATAAATAAAAATCTTACAAGAAGCCGTTAAAGATGCATCACAGTTTGTTGGTTGTTTTCTTTTATATCACTGAGTGATCAGCGACAATCAGTGACTAACTTTTAAACTTAAACAGTAATCATTTGGCTAGTTCTTATTTCACAAACACCAATAACAATTTTATTCAGAGTCAAAAAAAGAAGCTCTAGAACATCTAGAAAAAGCTCATACATATTTCAGTTGATTAAAGCCTATAACTTCGTGGAGCAATTAAGTCTTGCACATAGAGCAGCTTTACTGTAATGACCTAGATTCTGTACATCTCAAGAGGGGTATTTGGTGGCTTGCTGGAGGCTAACTGCTATGAGGCGCATGTGAAACATTCCAAGCCAGAGAGAGAGGGAGAAAAAAAAAAAAAAAACCTTTGCACAATGCACACTGACAGAGATCTTTTCTCAGCAAGCTTATGATACTGACATACCATCTCTTTTTCTCATATTTATCTTGTAGGAACTCCTTGACTTTCTGTGGTTCTCTGAAGTCTGGTACTGAAGAGGTTCTGTCATCATAAAGACCGAGCCAGATCTGTTTACAAACCTGAGAACACACAGAGTTAGAGAAAGGGATTTTTGGAGGAAACGGCACACACATGCACAGAGCTTTGCCATCAGTCATTATTAGTAATGAAATTGTTACAATAAAGTAAAAATAGACAAGCAAATAAAAAGACAAGCCACATGTAAGATAAAGTTGCAGAGTAAAGAAAAAACAAAACAGAAAACCCCCCTCTGACAGATAAAGGGGTTGCGAACCTCTGCCCTGGTGTGAACCTTTGCAGCAATAAGTACAAAAAAGCGTCTCTGTCTTGGGGTAAAATTCCACATTGGAGTGGTGGAATTTTATCCCATGCTTTGAACACATTTGACTCTGGGATGAGGGTGGAATTCTTCACGCGGACCACGTGCTTTAGGCTATTCCATTTTAGTTTGCTCAAGTTCAGGACTTTCCAAAACAAGCTATTCCAAAAGATCCACTTTATTTTTCTGTAAAAATATTGGAGAACAAACATGTTTGGTGTACATATTGCCTTAAATAAATTGCAAAATAATATATTTTATGCATCTTAGACTGCAGTGGTCTTATTTCTGTTTCCAGACACAGTGACCTCATTATAACAGCACGGTAGTGGCGCTCTGGGGGAACCAGAAGACTCCCGGTCATCATGCAGTTCAAGACAATAACGATGCACCGCTCCAAGGCTCATCCTGAAGTTAGACCTACTACAGCTTTACTAAGGACCACCACAATGACAACCCGGCAAATGAGCCACCAAGAAAGAGAAACAATGACATGGGGACGGCTGGTGCGAGCTGAATTGTCACAACTGGACTTTCAGGATGTCTAGAAGTAGATCAGTTGTGGATGGCATTGTTCTCCTGGATAAAACATAATAAAAACAAACAAACAAAACAAAAACTCTGTGCTGATATGAGTCACCAACTATACCTGGGCAGCTATTAATATTATCTAGGTGTTGTCAAAATAAATACTTTGTGTGAAAAACACTGCTTTAAACAGGGAAACACTGGGACTGGGCACCAATTTATGACAAACAGTTTATAACATTGTTTCCCAAAACTACTTTAGTTGGGTAAGCCACCAGCCACATAAATTAAATCCTCCTTCCGCTCAGTGTCTGTCAAGTGCGCTCTATGAAGACAGAAAGGTAACTTACAGGCAGTATTTATAGACCAGCCTTCAAGCGTATATGCATCAGCTCCAATCTTGAGTCTCCTTCATGTCTGCTTTCCATGCCACTTTGTCCTTCGTGGGTGGCACTGCACTATTTCATACTCTGTTTACCCGAAATATCTCGTCCCTTCGGTATTTTGCACAGTGCAACTGGTCGATTGTTTATACTTCTCATAAGTAAATAGGTGCCAATATAATGCATGAAATGCTTGACCTGTCTATTCAATAAAAGTGTGTCACAACACCTGTATTAAACTGACAAAACATTTGCTTTACAACAATTTTTGTTGTCGGAAAGTAGCATGCACTTTTTAATCTAGAGTTTGTTTTATAAAACTTTCTACAGCAGTAAAATGATAATAGTCTACATGAATTTCAAGCGTGCCTAAATTGCCTTAACAAGCATATGTGCTACAGGCTACTTAAATACAAACAGTAAAGCATAACTTTCACAACATACACAGCCCATTTCAAGATTTTTAGAGGCTGACATTATGCCAACCTGTCTATTAAATATTGAATAGACAAGGACAAACAATGATGGCTCAACCAAAAGCTAATCTAACTAGTCAGAAAGGAAAGCAGTGGGAAGGTTGACCTCGGGCTTAATTTCTAACTTTATTAATTGACAGGGCCGAGTTGCCGTTCCTACCTCATTGCCATGTTTCTGTAAGAACTCGATTTCCTGTTGCGTGAAGGTTGTCATGGAGATGGACTTGACTCTGTGGGGTGGATTCAGTCCTCGTCTATGGAAAAATAGAAACAAGGGTCAATTTAATTTGAAGACAACATACATGAAAACCTCATCTTGATACACTCCAGAGCCCACCTCTCAGGACGGGACCATTTAATTAGCTGAAAGCTGAATGGTTGCTGGTGTGTGCGTGAGTGAGAGAGAGAGAGAGAGAGAGAGACTTAGGACAAGTGAGTAACTGAGGATAAGAAGTCATGATTATAGAGAGAAATGAAAGAGACAAATAATGACAGAGAGACATACTGACAGAAAAAGAAAGGGAGTACAATAACCAGAGGAAGTGGGTGAAACTCTCTTCACTTACACCGACTGAACTGAGACTGTCCAAACATTAAAAGAATGAACAATCTTCCTTAATATAGAAACTTCAATTATGGAGTAACACCCATTAGACCACACAAGCCTGGCTCATTTTCCTTAGAAGGTCACACAGTCAATGCCACAATGGCCCAAATTAAAAATGCCTGGTTACGGTAGGAGTTGAAAAGAGCAATCATTTGTCTATTATTAAGCTCCAGGCCTGATTGTCTGAGCACGTTTTCCTCGAATCGCTTACAGGTGAAAACTGATGTCGTGCTGACTGGCACGGTCACCACCTGTTTTTGTGAGAAGGTGACCACAGAACATTTACCATGCGTGAAGAGCACTTTAACTGCGAGTTAACAAAAGTACTTGTCAACACATAAAACATATTGAAATAAATAAATAAATAAATCTTCAATTCTATAAAAAAGGATCTGTGCTTCTAGTTGCTTACATTAACCTTTGTTGTTAATCAGTATAATCAGTCTTCAGAAAGTAACTAAAATTATAAATTGGACTGCAACTTCAAATGCCTTTAAAAGCAGAGAAAGTGGTGAGCAGTGAGTAAACTCAAACAGCCATCATCAGCAAATATCATTAGGATAGCCATTACACTGTGCCAACAGTGGCCACAGGCATCTTTTCCTTCCTTTTCCCTTTGCAGCCATCAGCATGTCAGGAGCACAACAGATGCACTCGCTTATGGACATGGATAGTGGATTTAATCAGCCATAACACAGATGTGTTAAAGGAAGCATTCCGACAGCACTCAAAGCCCCATTATACAATAGACGTATTTACAGGTATGGTGGACAGATATAAATGATTACAACAGCTTTTATCAACCTCAGTTTTAATCTCAAACACAGTAACATGCTACAGAGACATAATGACATGGTATTAACATTTAGGAACACACAATTAGAGCAAAGTTAGTTTTTTGATTGTGGATAATATACAAAGAACTCTTAATTCAAGTGTTTTTAAATACTTTAACTCCTGCTTTATCATCTACAAGAACTACCAAGAGTTTTGCATGTTTTCCCTGCATCTTTATAACAAGAAAAGTTTTGTATGAAGTTTACAAACTGAAGAAGTCACTTGGATAAGTGACGAAATGTTTCTGCCACTGAAAACGCTACGTCCAGGTGAACAGGATCAACTTTCTGTGGCTTACAAACACGATGTTATACACAGAGCAGTCAGATGCTGAAGGCATTGAAATACTAGACGGTCCTGTTAAATTATTCACTGCTGTTACCTCTAACAGAACTTGTTGTCATTAAACCTTTTTCTCAATACATCCGTCAGTCAGTGGATTGACTTTAATCAAAAACAACATTCACTGCTATCTGGTACAGAGTACAGAAGCTACAGTTTAGCTAATTCGTGCTGTTTGTGAACACCCAAAAGACCTGTCGGTTCACATTTAAGAACATAAAATTATGTTATTTCTTTTAGATCATTATGTCAATGTGGAAAAGATTGCATGAAAATGTGTGGGGGTTTTGCTTTCCCTTCATACAAATGCTGAGACTGCCACGTACATGACTAATGTTTAAGCAGTGCACTTTTAGTTTTTAATCATTTACTAGTGCTTTGTGTTAGGCTTACAAAAATATACACATGGACCAATCACAGCAGAACCACGTCACACTAAAGTAGAAGGAGATTACAAATCCCTAAAACAGATTTTTAAAAACTAAAATGGTCCCCCGATACTGCACTGCGGGGTAGAGAGGAACGGACAAAAACAAAAAACGAATTGTTTTTAAAATGGATACGTTTTTCCAGCTCCCTAAGGAAGATAAGTGATCAAATTCTAGTCTTACGAAGATTAAACTAGGTCAGATAGAGGGAGAGGTTTCCAGAGCCCTTGAGGTCTAAATATTATATCAACGTCTTAGCAGTGTGGTCCCATTGAGGAGTTCTAATTCTGAAAATGTCATTTTTGTTACTTCTATAAATTTTAAAATGTATATTACGTAGACTTTTTCAGGAGAATTAAATTGCAGTAACAATCATTAGCTGCACAGTATAAAGGAACTGCTTTTATCACAACGTGTCAGAGAACAGTACCACATATTGCACTGTAAAATAATCATGAACTAGTCCCTATTGCACTAGTTCAAAGATGGGAACTCGGCTCATTTGCATACTGCAACTGCCTCAGGGAAAGAGAAACTGGCAACACAAAGTCTCCAAAGAGAGGAAAGTCCACACACTTCATTTCACTGCTTTAGATCCCTGCAAAAAATGATATTTTAGTCTTTTAACAGTACTGTTATTAAGTGTCTCATACAACAGAAAATACCCATTCCTAATTTAGTGACTCACTAATTTAGTCACCCCATCCCTGTTTCACAGATTCCACACCATTGTTGAGAAATCAAATGTCAGGGTTATATTAAAGTCATTTCTGGTAACTAGCCATTGATCAGATCATGTATCAGCACATTTGGTGTCTGTAACACCTTCCCAACTCTGGTTACTCAGGAACACATAGGTCAAGTGGGGTTACTTCCCGTCATGAGCAAATCTCTAGTAAGACATCGATTGGCGTTCCTCTTAGGAAAGGCTCCACAATCATGAGGAATGTGTTTATATAGCAAATTCCAACTCCACCCTTTAAACAACTACAGCTACGGGAGGAAGAAGGTTATTAAGTAGTAAGTTGTTGTGAACTCTCCATCACTCCAGAGAAAGTCAACAGTGTTAATCTTAAAAGAAAAAGGAATTAAAAAGCCACCTGTAATGTTGGATGTGTTTGCTTTGGTTTATTTGGACAAAATAAAGAAAACATTATGGTTATTCAGAAAATTGGCATAATAAGCCAAGACAGCGATTGAAATTATCAAGTCTGCGCATGAATTTTAACTACTCACAATTCCAACATGACCTCACAGCCACTTCCTGTTGCTCACATACACAACATCACATGCTGCTGATGTAGCAGCACAGTGGGGCCACACCACTTCCTGAACCTAAAAATCAGATCAAGCTTCCTGCGCATATCATACAGACATCTATGCTTTCAGCCCCACACTCTTCCAACAGAAAGATTTTCCTTGAATGTGACCTTTATCTAACCAAAAGTCAGTGAGAAAGACAAAAGAGAAAGGATATAAGGTTTAGAACAGAGATCTCAAGCTAAAAAAATTAACTTAATTAGCTCTCATTACAGGATTTAAAGCAATAGGGCAAGCACATGGGAAATACACAGTGGCGTCCCCACAGAAACACCCACTGGTGGCGGTAAACGAAGGGAAAGTATCAGCAAGCATGTAATTTATCTAATGCTCACCACAGCTAAGCTACATTAACTCAAACCTGGTCAGTGGGCATTTACTAAGCAATAAAAACCTTACCTTTTACCTACAACATTTTTAGAATGATAATTATTCATGAACAGAAAATGGCAAGGTGATCTGTATAAAAGGTGCATACAGATCTAATTCAAGTATTTGTGCCTTTATGGGTGATGGTGGTAGCACTTATAATTTATTTTAGCATTTCATGTGTGTGTTGTTTCTCAGTGAACTACATGTCAGTGCAGTCTGAAAGGTCGATTACTGCACAGTATTGAGAATGATTAGTGCAACACGGGCAGTAAGAGGGAAACACTTCCTCCATGTTGTACATCTTTTGCCCCATTTACCACTAAACTGATGTAAAACTGAGTGACGAAGTGATTTGTTATTATTGCATTAAACTACTTTCTTTCTGAATGTATCCAGCATCATACAACATGCAAGAAGGAAATATGACAGCTGAGCTGAGACGTATGTGTGTGTGTGGCAAAATAAGAAGAAGCAGAGTGCTCCACTAATCCCAAGCTTAAAAAAATGCTTATTACACAACTGCACAAAGACTTTCATTTAAAAAAAATTACAAATAAAACCCTTCACTCTGCTACAACGAAACTACAATGCATGGGCTTCAGAGCCGTCGTAGGAGGTAAACTGCAGATACACGGAGAGAAAAAAAGCTTTTGATCAACTGCGTTGTCAGCTCTAATTCGAGCTGCGATGTTATGCCAGAGGATAAATAATTCGAAAACACAAAATAGATGAGTGAACTACGCACAACTGATAACAGATTTTACATTTATCTCAGTCTCGTCTTAAGATAACACGACTTTCGCTCGACCAGGTGTCGACCATCACGTTTGCAGCGAAAATGCGGTTAAGTGAATCAAACATATGGCTCCACAGGGCGGACCGGCTCAGTTACAAGGTGGTGCTTCCTAACGTTACCGGCAGCTGGAAGCAGCAGCAGCTGGCTTATCTGTGGACCTAGCTTGCAAGTGTCAGATAAGTTCACTTGCTAACACTGGATGCTAACGTTAGCTAGCATCTCGGCTGGTTGGTGCGCTCGCCTGACACCTCTATGCACCCCGCCCAACGCACCACACTGCAATGTCAAAACAGCTAAACTCACACTACCTCCGTCTTTTCTAGTTCCCCATCTGACGGTAGCTAGTGCTACTATTTGACTAACTGGTCGGGTTTACCCCGTGTAGCCGAAGCGCATTAATATCGTGTGCGCCATGTCTAAGCTAAGGTCACTGTGCAACTTAATACTTACAGGATGCCAGAGCAGGAGGTACAGACGAAGGAACCCACAGTCATGTTGGCGTAGGTCGGGCCTCGCTGGTCGCAGTCAAAGCACTTTCTATTGGGAGGCAAACTCGTCATTTCTCTCAGCATCTTCAGGTGTTTCTCCTCCTGTTTTCTCTTCGCACTCGCCGCCATGGTAAAGAATCTATAGAGGGGGTTGAATAAAACCGTGAGAGACGGAAAGCTAGCTAGCTAAAACTAAAAGAGCTGTGCTTTCTTCTTTTTAACGGTTGTCGACTCGTAAAGACAGAGTGAATCGCTAGGTGGGTCTGTTGTCAGGGCGGCCTCGCGTCTCCTCGAACAAGGAGTTTTCAGGCGATGGACCTGGCGCTAGCTAACGGGACAAGAGCTTTGCTGCCATCTACTTCCGCCTTCGCTTAAGTCCCGTTATGCAGCCACAGCGAGTCTTCATGACTCAAGGCCAAACGTGAGCCCATTAAACTCATCACAGTCAAAGATATCCACTACAGATAGAGGCTATTATTTTTAATCTAATTTTATTTAAGTTGGCATTAACGGTGTCGTACGCGCTGCACACTGCAGGCATTTTAACGGCATCAACGACACAATTTAAAGATTGTGGCAGTTAGCGGCTATGTGAGTTACTTTATCTTCAGTTCAAATTGTGACGTGTACATAGAAGCAGACAGTACGCTCGGTGACTTGTCTGAAGAATTGCAGCGGGCCACAACGCAAACTGAAACAAAGAGCATCATCTTGTTTCTAACGGGACAGCTCTTTGGTTGTGCTCCAGACAGCGCAAAGAGTGCCACTATTCTTTCTTTAACGCAACAGCGCCACTGAGCGGTTTTGGTTACTACAAGATTGTAACTAGACCCAATGTTAATCAAGTCATTAAACAAAATGCACTGCGTCACTATATGAAAAAAAATTAATTAAATACCTCAAGTATTAAAAGATACGTAAAATTCCTTAAACGCAATGCTTGATTATTTGTTTCAGGAAAATGTACGATAGAAAAATAATATTAGATATTTCAAGATATTTTAAGAAGAATTTGTCACAGGAGCATGTGCAAATACCCTGATGAAATGTGTGGAGAAATATGAGTGAAAAAGAGTCAGAATGGACGTGTATTTTACACACTTTATTACAACTGAATAACATATTATTACATAATACAAAGTAAACCAAATGGTATTTGTATTATTTACAAGGGTATTTTGTGCAATGGACTTCAGAACCTCTGTTGTAATCTAGGGTGAGCTGACCAGTCTAGTTCACTACTGAAGATGTCATCAGTTACTGGAACAATATTCTGTCTGAGCCAGATCTTACAACATTTTTTCTTAGAACATCAAGACTTATAGTGCTCTGCTTTGTCTGAAGGACCTGACTTTTAAATACTCAACAAGAACCAGTTATGTCAAGTTCAGCACACTCTGCAATCAGTGGGAAGCCTTAAGTCTTCAAATGAGATTCCTGTCCGTCCTTGTCCCCTTTAAATGTTTTTTGCTGCAGCTTTAGAGATGTTAATTAATTGCTGGCTGACTGAATAAAAGGCTGCTGTTGTTGTTGTTGTGGAGAAAAGTCAAAGGGTCTGCGGTTTTCAGTGTAGCCATAAAGTTTCCGGAGGGCCACGCGAGCTGCTTCTTCCTCGGCTGCTGCAAGTGTCTCTCCTGGACCCTGAGCCAGTAGCTTCTTGTCACTGAATTAACAAAGAGGTGATCAGACAAAAATGAAAATTCTTCATAGCATTAATTTTAACCCATCGCATCTGTTTTAAATTTAGAACAGTAACAACACACGAACAACAGAACACATACCTGTATAAGCCAACAAAATACAGTGGCAACACTGTGCTGGCTCCAGCAGACCGGATGAGCCGAGGCTCCGGCAGAGGAATTTTCCTCTTAGTAAGCTCTTCCACCAGTAGTCCCATGGGGTTGACCACAGTCCACATATCAAAGATGTCCTTTCCTATCAGCTGAGTCACCAGAAAATCCTAGGAAGAAGGTGGAGGTAGGATTAAAAGAACAAAATGTCCCACCACTGTACACACAGCAGAGGCAACTGAGCAATGTGGACAAATTATGCTTCCTCTAAGCGAATTATTATGTGCCAATGATTTTGTGCCATAAGCGACCTACCCTGAGAAATAATCCAGTTCGCTCAGCTCCACTGCTTTCCTGCAGAGCTCCAATCACTGCCATGAAAGTAGAACAGAGCACATCATCTGGAACAGGGAATTCTGCACTCATTGTTAGGTCTTCAATGCCCAGATTTCTGGCTACGTAAGTGATGACTGCTGGACTGGTGAGGTGCCCTACAATACTCTCCACCCCGATGGCCGGGAGGCTCGGGAAGCTTGCCCTGCACCAGTCGATCAGGAAGCTTTCAGTGAACGCAGACCCCTTTTTACTCAGCTGCACATTATCTTTTAGAACAAGAGCGGCAGTCTCGGATTCCACACCCAACCCCTTTCTCTTCTCTTGCTCCATCTGCAGGTAACAGGGATTGATGAAGGCTGTTTTCAGGAGCTCAAGAGAGAAATTTTCATGCAGGCGATGGGTGAAAGCTTGAATCTCTGCATGGTAATCCCAGTGAGGCTGCTGGGATCTGAAGAAGAAAAAAAAAGTAAATACCAAACAGAAATAGGAGTGTACAATCACTAAAAGCGTGTACAGAAAGTCTTAAAAGGCCAAGGACAAAGCTTACGGTCATTAAAATATGAAATTTTTATATATTAAATTAATGATAAAATTAGAAGATTAACCGAGATCACGGGGAGGATCTTGGTTTTCTACCCTTGGGCAAAGAAGCTTCGACAGCTAGCTACGCTTCTGGTGTTATTTGGAAAAACCATGAAACCAGTAACGCCATACGCAGCGCTAATACATCTGCATTAAACAATTGTAAAATTGCACTAAATGCCGTCCATATGCACGCTTCTCAACGGACTATGAAAAAATAAACACATTGAAATATCAAATACACGAATGGCCTTGAGACGCTCTCTAGTGATTTTTGGCGTTACCGTGGCGTCGGAGGTGGAGGTCCTTCCAGCTTCAACTTCTTCGCCATGAGGTACGTGTAAGCTTTCATCCATCGCTTTTTCTCTCTAACCTGTGACAGTGAAATATTCCTGCAGACGCGCTGGCAATGAATTCCTAATGTAAACGCACCACGATTTAGTAAGTACCCTGACGCCATGTTGGGTCCCTAAACAGCAAGGTGCAACAGCTAAAAGTGTCCGACACGGAGCAACAAAGCATATCCGGTAGGCTGGAGCGTAAAGACGGAGCGTTACCATGGAAACAAGCGTAAACGGTAACTAATATTAACGACCGGGGCAGGCTGCTGATTGCTATTTATTCGACTGTACAATTCAGAAACGCCTATAAAACCTATCGTTAAGAAGTATTGTATATTTCTGATATCAATTTTAACGATATCCACTTCGGAAAATCAAGAAAGGATGGAAGATCAAGTGTTGGTAGCAACTGAAGTCGAAGGTGGGGATGCCCGAGAAAGTTCTGACAGCAGTGGAACTCAAGAAGACCTTGGGAAAAAAGAGCTGCAAAGTTCACCTGAGGAGAAAAATGAAAAACACTCAGGACCACGGATGACCAAGAAATTCCTGAGAGACCACTGTAAGCAGAACAAACTGTACATAACACCATGCCTCAATGACACACTGTATCTGCATTTCAAAGGTTTCTCCACCATTGAGAACTTAGAGGAGTACACAGGTCTGAAATGTCTCTGGCTGGAAAGCAATGGGCTCCAACGCATTGAGAATCTGGATGCTCAGACTGATCTGCGCTGCTTGTTCCTTCACCAAAATATCATATGCAAGCTGGAAAACCTTGAGCCTCTGAAGAAACTTTGCACCCTGAACGTCTCCAACAACTACATACACATCATAGAGAACATCTCCTGCCTTCCTGACCTGAGTACTCTGCAGATTGCCCATAACAAGCTGGAAACTGTTGGTGACATAGAGCATTTGAGTCAGTGTCTGAACATTAGTGTATTAGACCTCTCTCACAACCTGTTACACGACCCTGACATCCTCCCTGTGCTTGAGGCCATGCCAGAACTGCGTGTACTGAATCTAATGGGAAATGAGGTCGTGAAAAAAATCCCAAACTACAGAAAAAATATGATTGTACGCCTCAAGCAGCTCACGTTTCTTGACGATCGCCCTGTGTTTCCTAAAGACAGGGCATGTGCTGAGTCGTGGGCAGTGGGAGGGATGGAAGGGGAACGCCAGGAGAGGGAGCAGTGGGATGCACGAGAGAGGAAGAAAATTCAGGAAAGCTTGGATGGAATGGCAATGATTCGGAAGAAGGCCCAGGAAAGATGCAGACTCAGAGAGTTACAGGATAAAGGTAATCAGCTTTCAGCTTTTACTACCCTCATCTGTATACTAAGAGTAAATGTGTATGAATGTTTACACAGTATAATTGTTTCATTTCAGGGAAAACCGATGCTTCCTCTACTCCAGAAACTACTACTGAGGAAAACGGTACCCAGATTTTAACTTCTTCACAAGGTGACAAGATACAAGCTTTTGTGCAGGACTGCCTGGATGCCCATGAAGAGTTCTTAGAGAAACAGTCAAAACAGGGACTTCTTGAAAATCAGCCAGCAAGTAAACATCTTGAGACCAAAGAGGCAGGTCAACTCCTGATGAGAGAGCAGTTAGATGAAGATACCCAGGACCATTCGCCGATAACGCACACCGTAAGAGAAGAGAAAGGAAGGGAAAAGATCCCAGCAGATGAGCAAGGCAGTACTGTAGGGCACATGTTAGAGACAGAAACAGAAAATAAACAAGAAAAACAGTCCATGAGAAATGAAGCAGAGAGAGAGCAGAGTAAAAACAAACAGCCTCCCCTTCCTGAAGCCGATGACAATGTACCGGTACATAGTCCTGGACCACGGATTACAGAGCTACAAGATGCAGAGCTGCTGGAAACCATTCACCTTCCTCCAGCAAGTCGCTCATTGCGTATTGATGAGTTGCCTGATTTGGAAGATGTGGACACAGAAGACTTTAATGCAGCGTTCTCTTGTAGGCAGGCCTTTAAACCAAAAATAGAAGTCATATCAGGTGACAGCAACGGGGAAACACCAGCTGGGATTCAGAGTGACAGCATCTCCACATCCGCTCCAGCTGGGATTGAGAGTGACAGCATCTCCACATCCGCTCCAGCTGGGATTGAGAGTGACAGCATCTCCACATCCGCTCCAGCTAAGAGCTTTTTGTTCCTAATGAGTGGCTGCGACAAATCACCGGCTGTCTCTGGCAATTCTACATCGCTGGTGTATCCAGAGGATGAGGGTGCGCCTTCTGACCCGTCAAACTCAAAAATAAACCGAACCTCCTCTCCACCACGCTGCCTGATCGAGGAGCTTGAGTAATACCTTGATGTCATTAAATTTGAAATATGAGTTAAAATAGTAAACTGCAATTCAATCTGTAGCATATTTGTGATAGCCGTTTTGTCTGTGTGCTTGTCAGCTGTTATACTGTGAAAAGAAGAAATTCAGGACTGATTTGGTCAGTATTCTCGGGGGAATTATACGTTTACTCTTCACATTACAGCAACATTTTATTTCATTCAGGGTTTTTCCCAGACAACTGTGGTCCTTTGTGGTTTAATACAGTGCAATGGGTAAGACAATGCTAGCTGTTTTGTAACAGATATGTATAATTTTTGGTTACTTCTGACCATTTCAAAAGCAAATGTATCTATTTTGTTTGAGAGAATCCACCCAAATAAATACACTTGTAAATTTTAGGATTTTTTCCTCGGGAGACATTTAACTCCTCTACAGGAAAACTATGTTAATGTCTCAATAAAAATACAAGACCACACATGACTGGTACGGTTTTACTAAACTTTATTAGATTTACCAGCCAAGTCACATATTACTCTTAGTATTCAGCATTACCACCATGGAGCTGTATGTCCCCACACTACAGCTCCTTATTTTTTATTTTTTTTGGTGAACTATATACTGTGCCTCTGGATGAGGTCCGATTGACATGAAGAAATATTTACAACAACTTAGCAATGGGCAGCAGAATTTGAGAATAAAAACAAAACACAAGAAAATGGAATAGATGGAACAAAATAAGAGTACAAAAATAAAGCTGTACATGTTTAAATAAACAAAATCAAAATGTTGAGCCTATGTGCAACAGGCCTTGCACGTGCTAACATCTCCTCACACAGGGGTTAAGTGCAGTGAGCAGCTAACTGATAGGATAAAGGATAATACGTTCTTCTCATGTGGATGGCGGAAACACAGGCTGGCTCTAACGTCGCAACCACACCCAAGTGTTGATGAGCCAGAAAGCGACGGTGACGGAGTACAGGATCATCTCTCGCTTTGTTCGCTCTTTGTTCTCTTCCTCCAAATGTTGGAGTCTCCTGTTCAACTTGATGAGCTGTTGCCGAATCAAAAAAATTGTTTCATCAGTCTGGCCTCTTGCACCACACAAGACAGAATTCATTTATTTATCATGAGCTAACCTGCCGTCGAAGTGTTGTTGCATCGACCACAGTCATGTCATCAGCTGTCCCATCCAGAGAGGGTTCATATGTTGACAGTGCAAGCCTTAAAAAGAAAATGGCTAGTTTGAGAATCACAAAATAACCAAGTCACAGCAGCACACGGCACATTCAAATACGCGGAACAATTTAACAATGGCAATGTAATTTTTATAGATATCTGTGTCCATATATCTGTGTCCTACCACTCAAGGTAGAAAAGGATGAGGACAAGGAGAGAGGAACAAAACGAAGTGCCAGATGAAGTTACCTGGAATCATGCAGGGGGTTGGAGCTGGAAGCCGACCCCCCTCGCAGTGATGTTTTGCTAAGGGGTGGGGAAAGACAGAGTTGGGAAAAGGCGAAAGAGATATAGAGAAACCAACAATGTTGCATCCATGCACACAACTTGGATGTCTTTAATGCACCTAGACTTTCTCTAATTTTCTATTCTTTCTAGTCCTTTTAAAAAGTCTTATTTCCCTAAAGTTGTTTTCAGTGTCTTAAAACAAGTCACAACTTTATCACTTTAGTCTTCAATGGGGGCAAAGAATGTGGGTAAGTGCTCTAAAAATACCTTTTTTAAGCATACAGAAAATATGAATTTGTGAGCAATATTTAGAAGATCCATTTTCACCTTATTCTTTCCTTAAAAAGCTAAACAATTAAAAGGTCAAACACTTGCAAAACTCCTTGGAAAGTTCAGTAATGAATCCACATGCTTTGCGCAGCGTTTAACCCTGGAGTAACTGAAGTGTTGAACCTGAAGGTGAAATAAGTTGTCAGCACTACTTCACTTTCTCTTTAATACACCATCTCTGAAGTTTCAAAGGACAACAAAACAAATTCCTCAGTGTGAATTACTCCCTTTCTTACAAAGCAAACATTTATGGTGTTTGAGAAGTCAAAGTTAGGGTTGGGCGATTGGACGAATATATCGACTATCGACGACAGACAGCCCATTGGCGATCGTTTTTACAAGGGCAATTTATGTATTTATTCGCCCATGAGTAAGTTTGCTAATAATGATGGAGCTAATAGAAGCAGTCAACAAAAGAATAAATAAATAATAGCGCGGTTTAAACAGCACCCTCTTTCATCTGTGAGCAAATGCACCCTCCTCAGAGTGTGCCCAAATGCTTGTTGATGGAACTGCAGAAGCTGGGGATAGCCTAGCATACTCAGCCGGATGGTGGACACGTACATGCTCATGCAAGTTAGTCGTGTTTGAGTACTTTGCTTGCTCGGACAGCCCTAATTTTTTTGGAAATTAGTTCGTCCATATTTGGACTTCTATGATGTAAACGCGGAAATCAGTCCGTGCATGATCATATTGCTCCACCCATCAAAAAGTCTGCGCATGCGCGAACATATCGCCCATCATTGATTAGTGGACTGACGATGGAAAAATTTTTTACATATCGCCAAACCCTAGTCAAAGTGCAACTCAAACAACTTGATTCAACCACTGGTGGAAGTGGCAGTTCAGAGCTTCAGTTTTTTATTCTTCGACAAGCAAGGAACTTAGAAACCTTTTCTACATTTTCTGGGATTAATACATGTGTTATTAATACTGTTAAAGGTTAAAACTGGTCACAAGATTCTTGAGACTACACAACCTGTACCACATGACCCTCTCCCAATCCAAAACAAATGGTGCTTATGGGCAGAAATGAAAGTACATTTAATGCCATCTATCATGAAAATAGCTGTTGCAATCTTTACGGCCTTTTTAAAACCAATACCCATTCGGGCAATTTCTTTTTCAAAACCTTTAAGCAAAAAAAATAAATAAAAAAACACCAGATGATTGGGAGGTCACCTGCGAGGGTTCTCATCCAAGACCTCCAGGACGTGCTGGTAGGCCCGACGTGTAGTGGACTGGATGAAAGATAAGACACCACTAGCGCTGTAGAGGTTGTGTTCTTCAGCCTCGGTGAGAGGGGGGCATGGGTGAGCAATGGCTGGGGGGGAAGGGGTTGCACTGCTCAGTGCCCACCATTAAGAGCAGCAAATTCAGTAGGGAAGGGAAGAAGAGAGAGTACAAGAGAAGGAGGAAGGAAAGGGATAGAAATAAGGAAAGGAAACTGTCCTCCACTGACTGTGCAAAACTAATATCAGAGTGAAAGTGAATAGGCAAAAAGCAGCAGCCAAAGACTGAACCTGCCAACCACACCATGTTCTAACACATCTGGCAAGAAACAGGAATGCAAAAGGAGCTGATTTTATGTTTCATTAAGTGACTATTTTCTAGTTCACCATTCAGGCCAGACAAGGAACCTTGTTAACAGTACCAGTGTGCTGTGTTGCAGAAAGTGATCAGGACATGAAAAGGTGTTTTTTTTGTCCGAGAACTGTGTAATATTTTTCTCAAATATTAAGCCTAATAATTTCTGTCAAAACAATAAAGTTGCCAAGCACTTGTAGTTTACACCAGGCCTTCAAACAAATACATGAAGCTACTAAAGCTTCAAATTTGAATCGCTTTGCATTAAAAACAGTCTGCTTCACTAGTTCCTGTCAGTACTTCCCCAGCTATTCCTGTCCTTCTGCGTAGAGGGGATAACAGTGTTCAAATTTGTAATTTATTTAAACTAATCAATTAATCTTTAAAGATTTCACAATTTGGAAATAATCAACCAATAAAAACATGTTGTTAATGTATTAAAAAGTAGCAAAAAGTTTCTGCATCAACACTGACAGCAGCAAAAGCTCCTGACACAGTGGCTTACAATAAAAGTATGAAACCAAAAGAAAGATGCTGCATGCTTTACATGCACAAAGACGTAATAGCTGGTACCCAGTTAATGGACCCATACTCACGCTGAATCGTTGCGTATCAGCTGAGTGTTCTGACGGACAGCCGCATTCTCACTGGCTGAACGCTCCCTCCGTAAACGTCCCTGGGGCCGCAACTACAAGGAACAGCATTGACAACTGATTTTCTGGTTATAAGTTACACTAAGGACATTATTTTAAACAATGGGTGAATTGTACACAGTGTTCTCTGTAATAAAAAAAATTACTGATTTATCACTTACCACTTCCTCACTGTCTGGAGCCACCCGCTGATCGTCTTCCATGAAGTCCAGGGGTCGCTCATTGAGGGTGAGGACTCTGGGTGGAGTTTTAAGTGATAGCATTTCCAGTGGTGTTGACTGGATGAGGTCCAAGTCTCTGGGTCTGGAGAACTGGGTGTCATCACTGCCTCCTGACAAATGAAATGTACTGTGAGACTAACCTATCACTTCTAACACTTTAACAGTATTAACAGTATGCTGTGCTTTTAATACAAAATTGAACGAATTATAATCAATTAGTTCACACCTATAGTGGGAAAAAAACAAATATCCCCTCTGCCATGCTACCTGTATGCATGTCAGCCCCTTCACATAAAAAGCAGTAAGTAACAGCTAAGTTGAGCTTAAAATCTGTGTTGCAGTGGCTTTTGCACTCATTTTTTTTCTTTTGCTTTTGAATGTCACGCTTTGTTTTCCTTGTGTGAATGCACATCACTGTGCTGTGGTCATAGTTCAACAATGCTGAACTTTGACCACAGCACACCAGTGCTTCGTGAATGGTGTGCATAAACTGTGCTTTACTCAATGCAGGGGGCAAACTGCTCATGTGTAGTGCAACTCAGTGGAAATAATGTGAGCAGTGGTACTGATGTCACATTACGTAAAACGTTCATGTTCATGTGGTTCTCTGTGGTGAAGCGAAACACAGAGACACATGCTGTAGTAGTTGCTGTGTCCCACTTTACACCCCTTTTCATTCTCTATCTTTATTAAATGTTCATAACTCCTCATGTATGGCTGTGTTAACGGAGACCATTTTTAGAGCTGGGTATGTCTTAAGATATCAAAGATATTGCGGCTAGTGTGATCACATCGCAAGATGGTTTGTAATTGTTACGTTAAAAGTGAAATACTTGATGTGATCCTGGCAGTGAAACGGCATCTAGGAGCAAAGTCCTGAGGAACTGATAGAAGGAGTTCTATAATTTGCAAAAGACTGTGAGGAACTACCATAACGGTGAGTCACCAGTGATGTGCAGACATAGTGTGACATAAAGGACAGAAAACATACAGTATACTAACCAGCAACCACAATTCTCTCTGGGACTTGCATTATAACACTGTGAGGGACCTCCTGCGATCCCAAATTAGGGTCCTCGTGGGCTGTTGGAGCCACTTTGAGCATCTCTGGGATGCGCATCCTTTGGCTTATTCCCTCGGTGTACTCCAGCTCATAGTGGATACGGTTAATTTCAGCTATATCAGCCGTTGGAGAGGGGAATGTTGCTCCGTTCATTTGG